ACTCTCAGGCTAGATAATAAGTAATATAGTTCAAAAGTTTGGAATGGGACATAACTTACTACTAAAATTAAACCGGTATTTAATATGTAGCCATCTTTTCCGGGTTGGAACTGTCATCAAACTTTGCTAAATGAATAAGACCAAAAAGACAGCTGGGACTGATGAGGGTCTGGATGCGGGGTCCTTCATTTATGTATTCTTTAATTATTGAGGCAATTTTTCTATATTCTTTATACTTTTTTCCCATTATTCTCTATTCTTTATATTTTAGCACCTCTTTATTCTCTATTCTTTATATTTTAGCACCTCTATATTCTCTATTCTTTATTTTTTTGACCATTTTTCTCTATTCTTTATATTTTTTGCCCATTATTCTCTAGTCTGTAAACCCACACCCTCACTGGTAACTTTTCATACCGTCCATTACATGTAAAGTCTTCTGCAGTCATACAAACTCTTTATGCCTGGTTGAAATTATTTCCTACGGCTTTTTTAAACAATCTGAGTCTTAAATTCTTATAAATCGAATTGACATTTCCGCTTAAGACATGAATGATTGGTGCAATCGAGGACGTATAACTCTAATATACGTCCTTGGTGCAATCAATTTTCTTAATTTATGCTGGGACTAACTAGATTATGTCCCAGATTTATGTTACATGTATATTAAACAACTCAGTATTGATGTGCCGCGATGAGATGCTTCCAATTAATCTACAACTGGCGAGTTAATATAACTATATATGTGTAATCCGTATCAAGTTATCAGCTAGCATAAAGAACGTTTGGAATAAAATAGATTGTACCTCTGGTTTAAATGTATGTATAATTTTCTAAATTTTCAAAATGTTGTTTTGAGTTGTCTACCTTTCATCACAATCATCTTTAATACTTCCTTGTGTACACGGAAATTATGGTAATATTAATTTTATAAATTATTCACTTTTCATTTTGAAAGTCAATGTTGTTACAAGCTTAACGAGCATGTTACAGTCTTGTGAAGTGAGAATCCAAATAACTTAACTGCGCACTGCGAGTGTTATTTTATTAAGAATGCACTGTTTTGTGTATTTATCAACCACAGGTAAATAACAATTATATTTGTTTCAACTTGAAAATGAATGGATCAAAGATCGAAGATAAATTGTGCAACATGATATTATCGTCTTTTAATTTTAAAGATTTTGCATGAGCTCTCTGTTTTACGGCACTATATTGAGCTATATTTTTTCTGCAAATTTACAAATTTGGTAAGTGAATGTAGATGTTAAACTCAGGGGAGATAAGTCTGACATGACACTTCCAAGAACTCGTATAGATGACAAAAAAAAAATAAATAACACGGTTACCGTGAGGAAAATTTAGTTATTTTTAGACCATTTTTTTGCTTTTTCTAGCATTAAAACTATATCACTCGAACATCCTTGAACAGAAAAGGCTATGAACATACGATGAATAAAAGGAGATATATCAGGAGATGTATACGTCAATGATGAATGGGTGGATGGCTGATGAACGTCCAGTGGCAAATTTAAAGCAAATTCAGGACGAGTAAATGATAAAGTTTTAATAAGTTTAAACCCTACTTTATCTGTTTATACTAGACCGACACGCTGAGACGGATTTTTTTTGGGGATATTATACAAGGTAACAGTCCGCAGGAAGATATGACAACCTACCCTACATGATAGGACACATTCCTGACTCCGAGCCGACCAGTCTTTGCTCAAACTCCTAAATGATGCGTTGTTGGCGGAGAAGCAGCAATTACTCATTTTCAAGTCTTTTGTTTGACCCGACCGGGGTTGGAACCTACGTCCTCCCGCACTCAAGGTGAACACGCTACTTCGAGACCACCGAGGCGGTTATATACGACAATGAGACAGCAAAGGTTTGACAGAATGGTTTCTTAATGGTAGTAATGTTCAATTTGGGTTCTTAGAACAGCAATGCGATTGAATCAACATTATTTTTCCAATTCTTATAACTTTTAATCTGAAGAACTGTATTATAAAGAGAATTGCGCAATTTTCAAGAGAAGAGATCTAGAATGAAAGGTTCGGCACATTATTATTTGGAGACCTGAAAAAATCAGTTCATTTCTGTATAAACGTTTTTTTTTTAACTCAAGGAAGATAGCTATTACAGTCAAAATGGCTTATTGGATTAGAAAGATTTCCTATTCTATTAAAAATTCAAATAGGATTTCTGTTGTTGATGTTTGAGTCTGGTTTTTTCTTCTTCTTTTTTTTTTTGGGGGGGGGGGGGGCTTGGTGCATTGTTCACATTTAAAACATAATTTGTAGAAGCGCTTCAGTAATTATTTATTTACTACTTTAGGTAGGATAGTAAAATAAGAGATTTGTATCAGAGTTGATAAATTAGTGTTATGTTTGCGGTTTAATAACAGAAAAATTGAATATTCAGTGTAAACTATGAAACATACAATATCGAAACCATGTACCTAAACCTTGTGGTTTTTATTCATGGCATTTTGGGTTTTAATTCATGGGCATTATGGGTTTTTATTCATGGCATTAGGGTTAAGAATACTTATGTTAAAAAAAAACATAGTGTTCTGTATTGTTTTTCAATAAATTGTTGGCTATTTTCCGTTTTTTTTTTCATCATTATCTTCGCCATTTACTTTTTCTGATTTGACTGCTTTTATTTCAGTTTTCAATATTGTGTCTTGGTGTCATCCAGGATTCAATCATGTGAAATTGTTATTTGTAAGTGTGGAGCTGTGAAATTAATTGATTGTCTGTTGTTCAACTCCCAGTCACCAATATTACAAGCAAATCCAGGAAAATATTGAGAAAAGTTAATAATTTATCGAATTTCTCAAGCCTACAAGCGTCTTAGCCTTCGTTACAAGGGTTAGAAGGGACATTTCTAGTGTCTCAACCATTTAAACCACGCCCTTATTATAGCTACAATGGGTTAAATACAGTAAAGAAATGTTAATTTTATTTTTCATAGATAAATTTCACAGATTCAGATATTTTGTTTTATTTTTGGTTTCGAAGGAATGTTTGAAAGGGGAGTCCAGACTATCGGTATTGAAAAGTTCAAAACTATTATGAGTATGGACAGGGTTATTTAATTAACTTCCTGGTTAAAACTGAATGCTAAATTTTGACATTTTATATAGATTTACATTTCCGATTTCCACAAAATTTAGGAAATTGAAAGTAAATGAAAATAATGCACAGAAATTTCAGATTAAAATTATCTTCACATATCTATTTTAATGGACACAGCATCACATTTAGCAGACATTAAAACGATACTCGGATAGCACATTTTAGTGGTCATGGTCACTGCTCAAGTCTTATTTTTATCCATGGATCCTTTCCAAAAGTGAATGAAAGTAGATTTGAGGTAAACATTAATGAAACAGCAACCCAAAGAAGCAAACAAGAAATTCCAAGAGACATCAAAAGTCAACATACGACCCTAACAAAAGATAAGAGTCTTTACCATATGGCAAATTTTGATTTATAAAAACAAATTGAAAATACACAGGTAGAATAAAACAATGCTAAAGAATACCGTATCTAAAAATGTTTCGTAGTTACTGCAAGGAAGCTCAGGGTACTTTTAAAAGATCTTTTTTACATAGAAATATTCCCGTCCTACAGTTCTTTATTCTGCAAACGACCAGTTTCTTTACAAATACAAGTGTACATATAATATAAACCGAAGCAATACATATACATCGTCTAATTTAATTTGTGTGTACTTGCTACAAAACAAAAGAATAGGCCATGATGGTGAGCATCGATTTTCTTTCAGTTTCTAAATCTCATGCAAATACATTTTACATTTCCGACAGTTTACGTATTTGTTATAATTCTCTTATAGCTGTGGCCTGTTGTCTACCATGATGAGACATTTCTCTCACACAACAAAATGTGATATGAATAAATGATACGAAAAATGCATTAATTTGGTTTGCCTATCCGCAATGCAAAATTTCGACATTTACATTGACTATTCGTCAGGTCAAGACTTTCAAAAGTCACGATTCCCCCTTGGCAATGGAGATTTGTGATTTCTTCAATATGAATAATAAACAGAAGACTCGCATGTTAGACCTGAATATATTCTTCTTTAAAAAACAATTCCATTACAAGCGTACAAAACGATAGAAAACGTTTGATGTTAACAGTAGTCTGGGTTCCTGACACAATATTCTCACTATACCGTAAGCTGACATTTCAAAGTGAAGCTTGCGAAATCGAAAATATTTCACGAAGATAATTTTTACCATTAGAGAAATCTTGAGTTTTGGCTATCGCTTGCTATCAACTGTAGCTATTTGATTTCAATAGCTATTTAAATTCAATGATATTAATAAACTCGCCAGAGTCTCCGACTCGTTTATTATTATATCGAAATTAAATACCTCGAGTTGATAGCAAGTGATATCCAATTCTCACTCGTGATGTACCTATATATATCGATTGTTGTCCTTCTGACAAGATTTCATATTTAGTCATACAACGTCGCAAACAGTACGATACGAACTTGTGCAGGATCAAGAGTTGATGTTTGTGCAGAATCTCATTACAGAACAGTGTAACGAAGAAACATTTTTAAAAGAAGAATGAACAATAAGAAGAGAAAAGACGCTAGTATCCTTTAGTATTAACATTAATACATGTATGAAGATTACCGTTTGAAACTATATGTTCGAAAAGGGGGTTGCTATTGCTAAAATTAGTAAAAAGTTAGAGATAGAATGCCGAAAATATCTGCTGGTTTTATTGAAAATATCTATCAAGTTGTGTTTAGTTAGTAATGCATTTTTGTATTTTTATAACAAATAGATATTTAAGGTGTTTGTTATAATAGGAAAAACATTTTATATGATCATATGCATAATATATATTGCCTATATCATTTGCAAAATAATGCGCTATTGGTCCCTTAAACCCTTTTCAGGGCTACGTATACTCTATATATAAAAAAAAATGTCTACTTTTATTTTACAGATTGTTTTGGGTTAGTTTGGATTGTATACAAATAGCTTTACCACAATGGCTGAGGAGAATGTCAAGTCGGACAAAAAGAAAAATAGCTTGTCGTCTACTCTTCGAAATTTGGCCGACATGGGTTTAAATGGCGAAATGGCCGACCTTCAAGTGATTGTCGAAGGCAAATCTTTTCCGTGTCACAGGTTAATTCTATCAGCAGTTTCTCCGCATTTTCGAGCAATGTTCAATTCAGGAATGGTCGAGTCACAGAATGGTCGAGTAGAATTACCTGATATTACAAAGGAAGTTTTCGAGATCATTCGAACATTTATTTATACTGGAAATGTCGAAGTGGAAAAAATCACTGGTGACAATGCCTGTGACCTTCTTCATGCATCTGCACTTTATGAAATACAGCCTTTGCAAGAAGAGTGTGAACGTATTCTTGGAAATGAAATCGGCAATGATAATTGTTTACCTTTATTTAAAATGTCACGAATGTACAATTGTAAGGTTTTATTTGACAAGTGTAGACCGTTTATTATGGAAGGATTTAATGGCTTATGGAAAGCTGACGAATTTACTACCCTTCACATAGAGGATCTTGAAAGCATTGTCCGCGATGACGAGTTAGTCCCAGTTGATGAGGAGCAAATTTGTGAAGCTATCCTCATGTGGGTAAAAAAGAACCCAGGGGAAAGAAAGAAATTTATTGGTCGATTGTTTAGACATGTTCGTTTTATCAATATAAGTCCGGAGTATTTAATCACAGAGTTATATTGCGAAGACCTTTTGACGAAAGACCCTGACTGCAAAAGATATCTGGATGAGGCTCGTGATTTTCATTTGCTTCCGGCAAGACAGCACGAGTATTCAACCGGACGATTCCACCTTCGAGACAGTGATGATTATGAGGAGGTGATTTTAGTTTTAACAGAATTCGACATGGAACGTTCAGGGTCATTTTATCAAGATGGAAAATGTTTGTGGGCTTTTAGCTTGCAACAGAGTCGATGGTTCACATTATCACCCGTTCCGCACCCACTAAACCCGGGATTGCATATCGGTATGGTATCGTACAGAACAGATGTTTTCATTACAGGCGGTAATGAAACGAAAACCTCAAAGAACATTATGAGATACGATTCCGAAAAGAACGAGTTTACAGCAATCCCAGAGGCAGTGTTGAAAAAGGGTCGATTCAGCCATATGATGGTTGCAGTCCGAGAATCTTTATTTGTCATGGGTGGTAAACTCGAAAAGGCAAGGAAGGATGGCACGCATCAAGTTGTTGCGACTATTGAAGAGCTACCAGTTCATGGGAAAAGATGGCGAGTAATTGGGGAATTGAAGACAGCAGTGCATTCCGCAAACACGGCTATTGTTGGTGAAAAGGTTTTTGTTTTTGGTGGAGTACTAGAAGACGGATCTTTCCATAATCGTGTGCAAGTTTTTAATGTCCGTGTGCGTGAAACTGAAAATGCTTGTGATATTGAAAAAAATATGACTCAACCTTTTAAAGTCATCCACTTTGGAGGACGGATTGTTATCTTCACGGCTAAAGGGGACATGTACGATTTTGATTCAGATGAGCTGAAATTCAAATTAATGAAACAGATTAAATCGACGTATCTGCCAATAGCAGCTGTTTCACATTATAAAGGGTGCATCATACTTCTAACCGGGAGGCAAGACAATCCAATGTGTTATAATAAAATGTACAGAATGGACGTTAGTGTAAACCCATATAGAATGGATCTTATCACGCCTAAATCGAGCATCAAGCCAAAGCCTATTCATTCGTGTCAGAGGGGGAGAGTGAACAAACAGTTCATGTACCATACTTATTTCCAATGAGGATATGTGTATTTGTGCTGGAAACGGGGACCTTTTTAAAGACAGATTATTCATTTTAGTAAAAGATGGTGTTTAATATATTGTTTTTCACAGTTAAACTGGAATTATTAAAGTTTGTAAATGTAAAGTTATTTTTTAAGTAAAGCTTTGGTTTTTTTTTCAAATTTCAGCTATATTCAGTTCTATCAGCATAGTCGCCTTTTATGGTCTGCATATGAACGTGAATGCGATGTATATGTCATGTCTAGATACACAAAGAATAAACAAGGGTATAGAAATAAAACCAACATTCATTTCTCTACTCCGATAATAAAACTCTGCTCATAGGCGTTCATTTGCTTGTGCCGGATGTTTAATACGCAGTCACGTCCGGTAGTTCTCGGGAGAAACAATCCGATGCGTCGTGCTAGTGCATGTTTTAAAAAGCCCTTTGTAATGCGAAATTTCTACAAATATCTACCCTTTTTTCAGTGGCAGTCTTAATTCCTTCGTCCTTGATCCTGGTAAGATTTATTGATAATTTGTTCTATTCCAGAATATTCATGAAATGTTTGCGCTGGACGTTAAGCAAACAAATCAATCAGTTTGTTTAGATTTTCCCCATGAAGGGGGACTCACTTTCGGTGAATATAATACCCAACTCTAGTACTAAGGACTATATTGCATTCACATTGTCCGTCCGTTCGTCCAATACATATATATTTCCGTCACACTTTTCTCATGTACTACTGAGCAGAATGACTTATACTTTTGTTCAGCAGAGTAACAGTGATGATTTGTACCATTTCAGCACTTGTCAGATCTTGCATACACCTACCTACCGATTGCCGATACTTTGAATTTTAAATATGCTTTATGAACTTAAAATTTTTTCGTCACATTTTTTTTTAGCTAACCCTCGCCCGAAGGGCAGTGTGAGCTTTTGTCATTACTTTGCGTCGTCCGTAAACTTTTCTTTAGAAATATTTTCCTCTGAACCTTCTCAATGGATTGAAACCGAAGTATGTCTGCTTCATTTATAGGATGTCAAATACAAAGTTTTTTTTTTTATTTTTGAAAATTTGTATACCTGGTTTTGAGTTATTGCCCTTTAAATGTTGATTTGTAACTTTTTGGGGCATTTCCTTGTCCACCCTGAAAATTGGATAAATATCTAACTACTTTTACTTGTTTTGGAATTATTTTTTCCACTGAAATATCGATTTTTTTTTCCTTCAATTTTTCAATTTTATAGCAGTTGTTGGCTGACATCGTGAAAAATATAGGAGTTAGAATAGGTTAAAGGGGTATAATGCAAAAAGGATCAGACAGACAAAATGTATCTACGCTGAACTTGAATTTAAAAAAAAATCTGTCGACCTGTTTTTGAGTTATTGCCACTGAAATATTCATGTTAGCATATTTTTGGCTGTTATCGTTAAAATTATATGAGCTAGGTTAAAAATTTATAACAAGATATATCTGCTCTGAAAGTTTCACAACCCCTTTAGAGTTATTGCCCCTGAAGTGTAGATTTTTACTGGTTTTTTTTGCAGTTTTGGTTGTTATCTAAAACTGAAGGAGCTATATTAAACATGTAACTACGGTATTTGCATATAAAAGTCCTATTAAGCAAACTGGCGATTTATTTTTTGACAAGGTGAGCAATACAGGAACATGTGTACCTCTTAATTGTCTCGAGTATTACTGAACATAATGACTTCATATTTAGTCAAAAATGTAAAACAAAAATACCGAACTCCAAGCTTGTAGCAAGAGAGCATATTTCGGATCTGTCAAATACATACTTCTTGTAAACCAATACATTGAACTACGAGTGAGTGTATGCTTAGCACGACAACGCGTGTATTCATGTTTGCCTTTAATTTGCGAAAATTGTAATTACTTTAACGGCAATACAGCAAGAAAAATTATATAAAATTATAGACATGGTACCACCTAGACAACCTATTGATAAAACAAAAAATGCATTTAGAGACTATGTATTCGATGAAAGACTCCAAGTGTTGTATATTAGATGGTAGAGGACTACAGAATAAAGACTTAAGATAACTTTACATATGTATTGCCGCAAGGAAGGTCTGTAGTGGACTAAATGATAGTACTTTATGGGGAACTTTCCAAAGTGTCAAATTTTTAAGTAAAACTTATACCTGATGTGGTGGTTGATTCCAATATTCAATTACCGCCAAACGTTCGACTAACAGATCACTCGAATCTTACATGTGCTATATTTTTTTCAGAATATGAGGAATTATTACAAAAAGTCAACCAAATTCTAATTCGATTCCGAGAAATCCAAATAAGGGCAAGTATGATATATCAATGCTTCCTCGTGATATATTAACTTGTGTACAATCAGTCCAATGTACAATCGACTCGATGTTATACATCGGAATTATATAGAAAATAGAATGAACACAATATATGGACGACTGACAAGAACAAAACGTCACACGATGAAATGGACGAACATTTGGAATACAAAGATGTTCATGAAAATACTTTAAGAAGCAAACGCATAATCGGAATGCCGGTCTACAGCAATTTCTGTTCGGAACAAACTAAAGCTGAAAAGATTTTTGTCGAGCCTTCGACTTTTGTCGAAAAAGCGAGACATAGCGATCCTACATTCCGTCGGCGTCGTCGTCGGCGGCGTCCACAAATATTCACTCTGTGGTTAAAGTTTTTGAAATTTTAATAACTTTCTTAAACTATCCTGGATTTCTACCAAACTTTGACAGAAGCTTGTTTATGATCATAAGATAATATTCAAAAGTAAATTTTGTAAAAAAAAAATTCCATTTTTTTCCGTATTTTACTTATAAATGGACTTAGTTTTTCTGCCAAGAAACATTACATTCACTCTGTGGTTAAAGTTTTTGAAATTTTAATAACTTTCTTAAACTATCCTGGATTTCTACCAATCTTGGAAAGAAGCTTGTTTATGATCATAAGATAGTATCCAGAAGTAAATTTTGTAAAAAAAAAAATCCATTTTTTCCGTATTTTACTTATAAATGGACTTAGTTTTTCTGCCAAGAAACATTACATTCACTCTGTGGTTGAAGTTTTTGAAATTTTAATAACTTTCTTAAACTATCCTGGATTTCTACCAAACATGGAAAGAAGCTTGTTTATGATCATAAGATAGTATCCAGAAGTAAATTTTGTAAAAAAAAAAATCCATTTTTTCCGTATTTTACTTATAAATGGACTTAGTTTTTCTGCCAGTTAACATTACATTCACTCAGTGGTTAAAGTTTTTAAAATTTTAACAACTTTCTTAAACTATCCTGGATTTGTACCAAACTTGGACAGAAGCTTGTTTATGATTAAAAGCTAGTATCTAGAAGGAAATTTTGTTAAAATTTTGTTTGATTTTTTCCGTATTTTACTTATAAATGGACTTTGTTTTTCTTCCAGTTAACATTACATACAGTCTGCAGTTTAAGTTTTTAAAACATTTATTAGATTCATAAACTATCCTGGATTTTTACCAAACTTGGACAGAAGCTACTAACAATCAAAAGATAGTATAGAGAGGAATATTTTTATTTATTTTTTTCCTCATTTTTGTTGAGCCTGCGATTAACAGCAAAAGTAGGCGAGAAACTGGGTTCCGCGGAACCCTTACGAATTTTTTAAATTTTAAAGGCGATAGGAGAATAAGGAAAAATTTGGAAAACAATTATAAACTAAAAAGGAAACAATTCGATAAACGTTAAAGAACAGGTGAACGAAAATACTTGGCGGAACGTCTGCACAGAATAAAAACAATGGATACATCAAACCCTAAAGAATTCTTTCGGGAAATAAACAAACTTCAACCAAAGACAAAAAGCAAATATAAACAGCAATAACTGTCTTTTCATAGATTTCGATAGTTCAGTTTTACATGGGAAAATTTACAACAAAAGGGATGATTTTCGTTCCCTATTGTTAATTTTCCTTTGTTTTGAACTCGGTGTTCCTTTGGACTCATCTTGCGGTGTTTATATATCCCAGCTAATTCGCTATGCCCGTTTATGTAGTGACGTGTTGGATTTCAATAAACGTAATCTTAGGTATTACTGTTAAATTATTAAGTCAAGGTTTTTCGTTACCACAAAGTTCTTAAAACCTTTACTAAATTCTTTCATAGATACAAAGATTTGGTTTGGAACTTTGGTTGTACCTGTAGAAAACTTATTAAAACTGTATAGCACGTTTTATGTTTTACGATGATGTTGTTTACCGAGCCCGTAAATTTAGATACGATCCGGTAAAACTTATCGAACTTAAAAAAACTTATTCTAAAAGGTTACACATTTAACAGTGTAATAAGATCTTTGACTATTGAGTGATATTGTAATGATATACCGACATAAAAGGTCTCTAAACACAGTAGTCCCAAATGGAACTTTTTTAATTATGTGAATCAGCGGAAAAATATGTAGCATATAAATATAGGATATGCCGAAACACATAATTACCAGCGCCTGGTGATGATTTATAGCCTGACCGGTTTTGGTCCTTTACGGACCTTCTTCAGAGACAGAATGGGGATAAATAGCACTCTATTTATAGATCCGGTATCCGGCGGTTAAGATATATTCTGTATACAGCGGACATCTTTACAGGATCAATTCTCCTTTCAGTGGACTTTTCCTTAGTTAAGATAAATTTATTCATGCAACTGATTTATATGTTACGATAAACCTTTAACCTGATGATATAACCCGAATTTGGGCTTCTACATTGATGTATAGTATGATGGCCGGTTAAGGCCATTTCGCGTTTTCGCGTTTTCGCCCTTTATATTCTATAGGGCAAAAACGCGAAATTGCGAAAACTCGAAATATTTTTTCTTTCCGATTTCGCATTTTCGACTTCGCGTTTTCGACTTCGCGATATCGCGATTTCGCGTTTTCGCCCTATAATAATAATAATAATAATAATAATAATAATATCTTTATTTAGAGAGAGTAACTCATTTGGATTACACCAATTTTCAATAAGGCTCTCTTAATACAATAATAATTACATTAAAAATAAACAATACATATTCAATAATAATGATGAATATAGATGTAGTACAATTTAAATACAATAAACAAATATTACATATGGCATTACAGTACAAATATCATGGTAATGTTAAAAGTACATAGATTTGTA